GAAGGGTTTTCTTGTTTCAGTAGCGACTCCAGAGTGGTGCCCGGATCACAGAACTTGTCTTTTTCCAACACTTTATTCAAGTTTTCCAAAGCGGCAATAGCTATATTAGAAGATTTGCTCAGCAAGAGTCCACCAAATTTTCCTCGTAGCACTCTCCCGCGAATGAAAGGATGAAAACCGAGGACACTTCCGGCGGCATACGTGACATCAAATGGCAAACTATCGGGAATGTCTACATCTGGTAATTTCCCATAGCTCTCCTTCACTCGGCAGTAAAATACACTTTTGTGGAATCTTTTCTCTACTGTCGTCAACAAGCGTCTCAACTGGATAACCTCATTGAATGGTATTGTAACACAATAGGTAAAACATTGGCTTACGGAATTCTCACCAAGGTGGAAATCTGACGCTCTTTCCCAGTTTCTTTTATCTGTGAGATTACGTGAGAGCTCTGGGGAGGCGTCATAAAAATCGGCTGTACCTACATCCGCGTATTCTTCGTCGGTCGAGAGGCCTTCGGCTTCCGATTCATCGTCACTTGTCGAGACGACTGAATCATCTTCATCGTCAGGTTCATCTATTTGAGCAAGATCGACGAACCCCTGTTTATACAGCCGTGGAGGGTGTCTCGCCGACAGAAACACTTTGATGATTCCTGCATTACAATCAGAGTCCACGATTATGAAATCTTCCATTTCGTGGTAGCGAAGTTCTATCTTATTTGAACTTCCAACGACAACATCTTGAGCAGGAACGTTGGGAGAAACGATGGAGGAAAACAAGGACAACATCTTAAAGCTGTGATCAAAATGAATCTTTATGTCCTTTAGTCTAGGTACTAGAGGCCACTCACACTGAAAATGGCATCGACTTATAAAAGTACCAAGGCATAGGGAACTTGCTTTTAACCAATGAAATGGTTCGTTAGATCTGCGGCGTGTCTCTAATGGTGGGGCCTGGAGCCAAACCGGAAGTGGTTCTTCGACACCGTCGGTGAGATGCATGCACCACGCTTCTGTCACGTGACATGCAAACTCTTCCTTTGAGTGAAACTCCTTGGCTTCTTCATTATGGCTTGGTTCGAGTTCAAAGGCCATATCCTTTGATGCGGGTTTCTTTTTAAGTGCTTCACCGGGTGATGAAATGGCCTGAATGGGCTTTGAAGATATCACGTCGAAGTTGTCGTTCAGAAAATCTATCACACGGGATGCTTGAGCTACTATATTGCGCACCGTGACAGATATGCGAGGGCTGTAGTGCATGACTGGAGAGGTATCCACAACGCTTTCCTCTGTGCCGGGGAGAAAGAGCTTAGGTTTCTTCACTTCGCATCCGAATTCCTCTGCTTGTGATTGTCGCCTTGGGTTAGTCATCAAACAGTTGATGGCTTCTTCCACGTTCTGTACCTTGAGGCACAAATCTTTGGCATCTTTTTCTTCTTTTTCACTGCATATGACGATAAACTTGCTGTCAGGTCTACGGGACGCGCGCCCACGGGTCTGAACCAGTGCCCGAAGTGTTGCCGCACCCTCAAAGCGAATGACCAGGTTGCATTCAGGGACATCCAGTCCTTCCTCCAAAACATTGGTGCAAATCAGCAATTTGGACGCTCCTTTTCTGAACTCTTTTAACAGCTCTTCCTGTTCGTCTTTCCATGCCATTCCGTCATAGCTTCCTTGACCATGGCCGACAAAAGGGTAGGGGTTTAAGGTTTTGGCCACATTCGGGATCTCCCTAATCTGGTCGCACAGTTTGAAGGTCGTTTTGCGTAAGCTTACAAAGATCATGCCTCTAGAAGTTGGATCTTCCCGAGCTTGGCGAAGAAACTGCTCTATGTGCTTCACAAGAATATGGTACCTGTCCGACATGACAACTGCACCAGCGTAGTCTGCCGCGCAAGCTTGGTCTACCAAAATTTTGAGGTTTTGAAATGAAGGGTGTCTTCCAATTAACCTGTTCAGGGCACCATCTTTCGGCGACTTAGCGTAAACAATGCGGTCTACACATTCTTTAAGACTTTCAACAGCATACTGGTAACCAAGAACTTCGCAAACCTCAACAATGCTGAGCAAGCGCATTGCATGCTCAGCAACGGTCAGCGCTTTTAAGGATTTCTTGTTATCGTGGTAACTGTCAATCAGCTTTCTCAGTGCACCCCTTAAATTCGGCGAGAATACAGGAAACGCAAAACTTTGACGATCTGGTTTATCTTTGAAGTGGACGTCTATCAGATATTTGATGTGTTCCTCAATATATTTCTGGAGGAGAACTTGATCAGTGTTCATACAGTCAGATCTTTCATAAATCACGTCTGGGATATTACAATGTAACAAATCCGACTCAGTGGGCATCGTTACTACACTATCCAAGTTCTCAAGGAGCTTTTCAACTGTCTCGCTGGTTCTTTCAACTGTAAGTTCTCCGCCCGGCGAGGCTGTCAGACCGAGCACAACAGGTTTAAACCGGTTGGGCGTCTTTTTGTAGTACTGCATAATCTTGTTGTACGGGTGGTTTCCGCTGCAGTGGTGAGCCTCATCAAACACCAGGACTGAAACATCAGACAGACGAATGGGTGGGTTGTCCTCCGCGGCTAAAAAATTAAGAAAAATCTGGTGTGTTAAGACTAACACATCAACTTTGTTTTTAGCTAATTTGTGATAAATACGCCTATTTTGAGGCGACTCCNCACTCCCGCTGATAGTCCCGTGGCTCTTGTCGAGTTAAAGAGTCGATTTCGTGTGATGTGTGAGTCAAACCACTTGTATGACAATAAACCATGGCTTCGCTATCTCCACGGGATTGCTCTGCTCTTCCTGTGTCTGGCGCATGCGTCGTAACGTTGACAACTTCAATGCCACACTCTTCTTCCAGCTCCTTGCTCACTTTTGATAGTTTGTTCGCCGTAATCTTTTTTCCATTGTGAGAAATATTGACACTCTCTATTCTAAAACAAATAAGCTGTTTCCCTGGTACCTTTGTTACCTTTGCAACACGTTCGCCACACACTCGGCAAAGAAAATTGAAAGGGCAATAAAGTGCACTTCTCCCGCCCTTTTCATTTTCAACCTTATGAAGTTTCCCTTCTACTTGTTCCTCTTTCTCCTCCCTGACGGCCAAGTGTGTACCAGAGGGGGGTACTTTGGCCAACATCACAGTTTCCCTTGTGGCCAGTACTGTGTCGCATTTTTCGCAATGGAGAGTAACTTTTCCTACTCGATCCACGAGGGACCATTGCTGAGCTGCGTAAGCCATCAAAAGACCTGCCACGAAATAGAAGTATTAGCACTATGGAACTGTGGAACTGGGCAAATGTAGAACTGTGGAACAGCCCCACACTACCCTCCCCCCCACACGCCCACATGCATACCACCACCACCACTACCAGTGCAAACTACAAAGGAAAACTTAACATTTAAGAGATAACCAAGCACTCGAGTCACAAGAGTAAAACCATATCCCAAAAGTGAGAAACCACCACACGAAAAAAAAAAAAATAATAACTACTCAATCAACAGAATAGCAAGCAATAACAAGGTTCAAGAAATAAAAATTCAAAGGAATTTCAATTCATCTCTTAACATCATGGCACCGACAGTCTGAATAGCTCACGTTTACAGACTTTTTCATTGTTCCCGGCGAAACTTTTAATAATCATTCTCTATGCTGAAACAACGCCTCGCTGGATGAAACTTTTGTTACATAACCATAAGAAGGGTTTTTATTTACATTTTGTAAAAATTCTCTGTGTAGTTTATAATCGAGTGTTAAAAATTTTCCACTCCCATTTTGCAGGCCCGGCCGGGGAGTTGGTGTCAGTTCAGAACCTCAGGTACTCGTTATTTTCTTACTTGCACTGCAGATATAGTTTGCTTTGTTTTGCACGATTGTTATGAATAAGCATATGATATGATTCAATAACTCTAGTCAAATTTTAGGTATTTGGTAATGAAGATTTTAAAGTTTTGCAAATAAATAATGTTATCTCGTGAGGAAATCATCCGGTGCATCCTCATCCTCATTTTAGTACGTGGTGTAATATTCACTAACTGTGCCTCTCATTAGTCTGAGTGGGGGTTCCCTGGTGTTAATTTCTGGAGAGATCTTTCTGACAACATAATAGCAAAAAATTCCGAATGAAAGT